GGGAGGTTTTTCCAACCCCGACCAAAGTTCACAAAACAATTTTTGTCCGTAACAAAAATGACAAACAACAACAACAATAACAACAAATAAGTGACTGACTGTTGAAGTGAATTGTGTGATCAAGCCAACTGGGTCTACAAGACTAACTCAATGTTGTGACTACAAACTGTGCTTAGATTGAGAAACCACGCCTCACTGGTAACCGCCCACTACTTTAGGCCGCCAGATTGTAATTCACTGGGTTCGATAGCTATAACACCGATAAGGCCGATGAATTGTGGGCGGCATTGTTTTCGGTTTACCGCAATTTAATTATCACCATCAAACCTTTAAATAGTTCAGGGTGCAAAATTGGCCAAGTATGTCAACGGTTTTGTCTGACCAAAAAAATGCCGACAAAATGTAGATGTAGGAGGCAAGTAAAAAAAAATCACCGCCTAACTTTAAATATTTCGATACAAGCGAATCGAAGAATTTAATGATGATTCGATGACGCGAATCAATTATTGATTCATAATGAGCAGTTTTTTCAAAAGGCGTTTGCCGACACCAACTAACAGAATTTTAGAGATAAGTTTCTCGAAACTTTATAGGCCACGAAATGCGCGAAGAACGGGCCTTATAACTCATCTTGGGTGTTGATGATGTAGAGAAATCAATTAGATAACTGACGAAGTACTGTCATTTAGCAGCCCAAGGTCATGACCCATGACATTCTAAGTTACCTCTACCAATAATAAGCACTTGATGATGATTTTTTGACCATAATGAATATCATTCTGTCACTGGATAAATCTAAACTCCTTATCGTCATCTCACATTGCCCTACAACTTTAACTGGTACGTACCTGTTTACTTTTTTTCCCATAGAGCACCAATTAACTGCACTCTGTTAATGGATTTTTCAAAACGAAGAGAATTTTTGTATCATTTGTGCCTATGTGACCTAAATTCCATAAAATATTATTGCAATATTTTGAACAGTGCATGTCAGAAGAACTTTAGTAATTTGTACTTAAATAACTTAAGTTCTTTCAGTTCTTTCAGGTCTTAGAAGCATTCCATAAAAGTGCTTTGTAATTTGTAAGTCAAAGCACCCCCCAGACCCTTTCAAAGTGCTTAGGAGTTTGAATACTAATTGCTGTCGATGTAATTGATGATGAATCGAAGTCCTTGGATTTTAAAAAGTAACTGGAGTTTCAAGAGTTAAAGGCACCTTAAGAAAGGGCTTAGAGCTTCAAGGACCTTTGCAAAATTTGTTAATTGGNGGGAATGGGTGGGTGGTGGTTCGGGTGAGAAAGATGAGACGGACGAAATGAAGACAGAAGAAACTGAAAGATTATCTGTGGAATATTACTGCCTCAGTATTTGCCTAAGTGATCCAAGGAAACCACAGAAAAACCTGGACCAAGGCAGACGGACCCGGAATCGAACCGGCATCCTCCCGAATGCTAAGCAATGGTCTAAACCTCTAGGCCATGCCGCTCGGTTATAAAACTAAAACAACCCATATCCTTAACTATTTGCGAACAGTAGTCTAATCTAGGTCTACCTCTACCCCTCCTAACTCCCTTATATGTCTCTGACTAGACCTTCATGCCTGAGAAGTTGTCCTACCAATCTATCTCGCCTATTTCTTATTGACTTCCATAGAGACCTCTGTTCTCCTATTCTTTCTAATGCCTCTTCATTTCTAACCTTCTCTATTCACAGTATCCTCATCATTCGCCTGTAAAACCACATTTCGAACGCTTCTAACCTTTTCTTTTCCGCCGCGCCCACCGTCCATGTTTCCCACCCGCTCCAAACATCCACCTTTAACAATCTTTTTCGAATTTCCAAATTAATCGTTCGCGAGAATAGAAGTGACTTCTTTTTATTGAAAACGACTCGACCCTGCGCTATCCCCCGCTTTATTTTTATACTACTTTTTCCGTCCTGACTTATCTGACTTCCTAGATACCTAAAATCAGCCACTTCTTCTAATCTTTCGTCTCCTATCTTTATAGTCGCTCTTTCCCTGCTTTACCTTCTCTTGCAGACCAGTAATTTTGTTTTACTTTTATTTATTTTCATACAATGCTGTTTTGTCAATATCGCTTCCATTTTATTTAAAGCTATCTCTAACTCCTCCTTGCTAGATGCTCATACTACTATATCATCCGCAAATCTAAGCATACTATTTTTTTGCCCCTGTATATGACACAAAATCTAGAATAGCAAACTGCGAACTCATAGTGATAAAAATAATAAAAATATTGAATTGATGTAGTTTTAGTTTATGACTTTTTCTTACAGATAAAATGTCATTTTCACATTATTAATTTAATGCAACACTAATTATGAGGTAATAATTGTCCAAGAAATTATATAAAGTCCAACCTACTTTTACCAATTATTGTAGGAACGTATCGTAAGTTTTTAAAATAATAAGTTCAACTAGAGGTATTACGCTATTACGTAAAACTCAAATGCCATCTACAAACTTCTCTTCAACTGCTAACCAATTGTCATCGAACTGTAAACAATAGTATCTAATATAGATTTTTTTGTATTATACCACATGATCTTAAAACTGTAAAATTACTCATAATTATAGTACCTTTATTAATAATAATTCTATAATATTGAGTGTTACAAAGCATACATAATTCTTATGCTTATTTAGATATCAAGAACACTTGGTGCAGCAAAATTTCTCAGGTGATACTTTGATAGTATTTTACAATTCTACAGCTTTCATAGATAAATCGACACGATAGATTTTAATATTCTAACACCATCTTGAATACGATCTCATGTAGAATTTACGATTTTAAATGGTTAAGGTATAAGGTACAATCTGACATGGATGCCACTGCTGGCGAGAAATCAATTTGCATTGATTTTTTTTTTAGATTACAATACCGCTGAGGTTTGAACCCCTCCTACTGCAAGATCCCAATTCTTGTACTCGGTCAATTTAACCACTGGGCTGTTCGTTAGTTTACAATTAACACGGTTCCTATTGGTTTAATAAAGTGTCACATAGAGTGACGGTCAATTGAATATTGTCACTTAAGGACAATAACGTGTAAAAGCTTCATTGTAAAACATTATTGGGTAAAACATATCAGTGAAGAGCAACGTACTTGGCTGCTTTCGGTTTGCTTTATGGAAAGCTTTGATACTTCGCATTTTCAATGAATAATGTGCAGCGACGGAAAGTGGCGAAAGGCCTTTGTAATCCCTTAATTAAAATGAGCTATTAATATCATGACAGACAGGCAAAATTACTTCCTTATAGGTAAATGTATGTAAGAACTTATAATCAGTTTTAATCGGAGTACGTGTTGCTGCCCATATTAAGACCTACACACTAATAGGTACCTATAAATTGTTAAATAGACTAATACAATGAGATAGGTAACAATCCTAGCCAATATTACAAATGCATATATTAAGTTTGTTTGTTTGTTTCTGTATTTGCTTGGTACCATTTCACGCATTAACTACTTCATTATGAAATGACATACGTTATCTTTTATTTAAAAAAAAGATACGGTTCTCTAGGGACAGAAAAATTAGTTTTATCTGGTCGCCGATGATCTCTGATACGTATGAAGTCTATCATGAAATTTTGTACAGTCCTAAGGCTGGTTGGACACCCACTTCAACTCTTTCCTATCCTGAGCTAATCTTCGCATTTCCGTAAAACTAGAACATCCCACATCCTTAACTATTAGCGAACAGTAATCTAATCTAGGTCTACCTCTACCCCTCCTAACTTCCGTTTCTGCCTCTAACGTGTCTTTGACTAGACCTCCATGCCTGAGACGGTATCCTATTAACCTATCGCCTATTTCTTATCGACTTCCATAGAGTCCTCTATTCTCCTATTCTTTCTAATACCTCTTCATTTCTAACCTTCTCTATCCTAGTTATCCTCATCATTCGCACTCATTTTAAATTAATTTTCGTCTAATGATCCTGTATTTAGGTATTATTCTAAAGTCTTTACTCCAGAAATCTCTAACCTTTGGTCAACGGACTTCCCGTTGCCTGCCACATCGCAGTATTGTGCATCACAGTGTCATACCGATCCTTGTGATCTCTACCACCCTGAGTACTGAAAGAGCTGCTGCTCTCTTTCAGGGACTTGTCTTAGTCTGGTTTCTCTTTAAAAATACCTTCGCCCATTATGGTTGAATCTACGGTCCGACTCCCTAAATCATCAAAACTCACAAGCCGATCCACCCACTCTAGTTTGTACAAGAGCTTCGTCAAGGTTCAAGTCCCGTCGGATCGGAAAAATGTGAGAAGCTTCACTATTAAAACTTAGGCTACCTTTTATTCGAAAAAAAAAATTACCTTCGAGATAAAAATATTAGTGTTATGTTGTCGTCGATGATTTTTGACACGTATTTAGGACATCAAGGCGAACGAAACCACGGTAAACCCCAGTAAATAATAATTAGAAGCAAGAAATTTTTTGATAAAGTGATATACCTAAGAATGATAAAATCTTGTTGAATCCTTCAATAGCCTAAACGCAATTTATTTAACAATTAACATCGAATAGTAGCCACAGAGCAACGGAAAAGCTATTACCAGACTTAAGAAGTCAATTATTGTGTGAGAATAGCCGGTGCTGAGCCGCCAATACACGCACCAGCTTCCTTTGATTCAGTTTGCTTAAATTGCTACCAGCAAAAAATTCTTAATTACGATAGATTTGGAATGATGTTCCATGCCCATATATGTTCCTTTTGGTAACTGTGGATCGAAACAGCCTTTAATTCGCAGGTCGCAATTTTAAAACGGTGACCACGTGCATCTATTCCATAAAACATTGGAAAACAACAAATTGAAGTTGGTTTATTTTATGTCATTGTGCTTGAAATTTTTTAATGACAAATGAAAAATAATCAGATGTTTAATTAACGCTGGCCGCACCATAATTTCGTTAACGGTCCGTTGCAAATTAAATTGTACTAATAATAATTATTATAATTCGTTACCTGGTATCTATTCAGTATTTTGCTAACACATCCATGGGACACTCTCAATTGTCTCGAAATGACACAAGGCCTGACTCCAGCCGCAGCCATTTCCACAATTTTCAACCGAATGTGGTTTGGTAGTGGCCTTCCATTAATAAATACTCCGCCTAATTGGTTCACACGACCCTGGCCTGAAACAAATATGCAGAATTGGTATACGACCAAATTAAAGGAAACAGAAATATTTAGAACGAATAGCAAAAAAAGATTAGGAGCAGATAAAGCTCAGAAATGACTTCTTCTGTCAGTTGAGTGATGCATAATCACCCGACTCTTTACATTTAATTAGTGGAAGTTCTCAAATATTTTGGAAAATACGTTTCGATTTATAACTTTTGTCTATTGTATAATAAACTATTTTTAGTATTAAGATACTTTGAACTTTTGCAGTGTTATTTCAGTGAATTACAGAATTCATTTTACACACTACAGATATTTTCTAAAACGCGCTTTTAAGACAGCAGGTAAAGATTGGTCTGTGTTCTGTCGGGCTGCCTGCGGCGCGCTGATGAGATCCAAAAAGATCGAAATCGCGATCCGCATCTGGCAGTTTCGACAGAATACAGACCACTTCGAATTATTTTGTTCGGTTATGGTAACGTGCCTATCACGTTGAGGTGAGCTACGCCGGGATTCGTTTCAGCAAGTAGATATCCATACATTTAAATGGACCTTGTTGGAGCATACGTAATCCTAAAATGTAGCATTGTACTACAGATGGCGCTCACCACGCCATTTGTGGTATTTTCCACACTTCAAATTAATGAGAAAAAAATTGTTGCTGCTATCAATCTCTTGCCGGGGATCGAACCCGGGTTCCTGATTTTTCGCCCCAATACTCTACTACTAAGCTACAAGAAGGTAAAATATCCGTTTTTGCGATACACTTCATGATAACAGAATATGCCTCAAGGTGTTAAAAAAATTAAGAAAACACATTCATGCTCTGCTTGTAAAGCTTAGGGTTAATAAAAACAAATTTTGACCTCGGTTTACATATACCTACCACCCTTCAGATAAAGCGCTTTATAACATGTTTTTCTCTCAGAAAATACCCTAGCCGTCCCTTGATGAAAGCGAACAATTATTAATAATGAATTTAAAATTCCTTTGTGACATCAAGGAAAAGCACAATACCTACCCCTTAAATGATATTAGTTTCTCATCCCCTCGTTTTATAATAAATATCAAAAAAACCTACGACAAACTTTGCTATTCACGTATTAACATAAAGACAAGGCAAAATTTTCACTGTATATAGAAATTACACATTGTTTGTCTTAACTTGTCATATTTCTTTTTAATTTATGTTGCTTGAACGAAAATGCATAATTTATTGTTGAAGATGTTGAATATATTTTTTTAATCACGTCTATCTGAAAGTACCTATGACTTACATGTCTGAAAAGTATCGTAAACTAACCAAAAAGTCCAAAATATTTCGATCAAAGTTATAATTGTATTTATTATTATTCTTATATTACTTTATTATTTCTATGAAAAAATGACTGAAGATATTTGCACAGATTTGCCTATAGGATTATATATTGTAAGAATTTCATGATAACAGTCTTAACAGAATATAAAAATAACAGTAGAAATAAAAAACAGTGTTCACAAACATTTGGGTAATTAATTGTAGTTAGTGCACTTTTTATCGTGTTGAAACACGACGGCATTAGCGGTGCACTGATTGCGATTCTAATTGACTACCTGGTATTTCAACACAAGCTAGCGAAACGAGAAAAATCTCCAACTTAGTCACAGTCTATAAAGAGATAAAAGGCACTACTAGTCATGACTTTTGCAAAGTGTTAGTTCCTGCATTGACGGAGGTAAGGCACGTACCTGGGCCGTTGTATTAAGACTTTTAGACAATAGATAGGAGCCATTTTTTGAAATTTCTAATTGACTAGTGTGGTTCCGCACCATTTCATCAGCAACTATTTCACCAACAATGGGCCTAATGTATATATATATATATATATGTACGTGTACGTATAAATGTCCTGGTGAGTCTCTCGGTACTTGAAAGTTACGACTGTTACTGTTACCACTAGTTATTTTTTTTTCTGCACTTACAGACACTGCTAACATAAGTGCTGCAAACAATAGACACGGTTATTCCCGGTATTAGTGTACTGTAAGGTAAATTGCTTACCACATCTTAAAACACTTTAGCCATAAAAGATCTTTAACATTTTCTAGCTGATGTTCGAAACGTTGTTACATAGACTTTTCAGTCAATGTGCTCTCTTATAACCGATTCCTACGTAAACGTTTAGTTATTTCGAGGTAAGAACGGCAGAATACCTGCTCAACATGATCTACTGCTATAATTAAAAATAATCGCTCCTAATGTGAGAAATACTACCAAACACCGTAGCAGTAGTCCGATGTATATTGTAGAAATCAAAAATTTTCGCGTATTCGTTCTCTCTTTGGATGTCGTCAGCACGCCATCTAATGTCTACCCCTGTTTTTATTTATTTGCGCTGCCGCGCCACTTTTTTCAGGGAGCACACAAATTTTATGAAGGATTGTAAGTGCAAATAATCTACCTCACTGATGAAGAACACGAATAACTGCACTTAGTAATATTTATTTACAATATATACAGTTATTACTACCCATAACTTGATGATTTTAATACACGGATGCTATTAATTGCAGTCTTAATTGTTGCCTCGTTGTCTTTTTTTGTCTTTTTATTATGAGTTGTGTCAGCCTACATATAACACAATCTCCACCCTGATAGAGGAAAGGGTGAAGATGCTAGCCAACTAGTTTCTAATATTATTTGAATACTTAAAGATAAAGTAACCTGAAGATATTGTTACCTGCAAAGGTCGGTACCCTAAAATTACACCCAAACCACTTACATATAATATTTGTATAAATCAACAATATTTTGAATATTTAAATTTCCAAATTAAGCTTTCAAGGAAAGGGCAGGTAAATGTACCCTGAATCTGAACAACCCCCATAGGTTCTGTTCCACAAGTCGACATCCCTATGAATTTTACCGAACATTTTTAAACAATAAGACGACACTGTTTATAGTAAGTTTATTAAATATTGTCAAGAGACAGCAGGTAAAGTTGACGAGATCAAAATCGCGATCCACATCCGAATATTTCTACAGAATACTGATCACCATGAACGTTTTGTATCATTATAGTATGTTGTCATCTGTATGAACCAATTCAGAGTTTTGGTAACATTGGGTATGTAAAACACTCGCAAAGGAGAGCTGCTCCTTGCGGCCCAGTTCAATGATATACCTGTAGATGATAACACGACGTGCTCGACTACAAACCCAGAGAGACAATTCATTGGTTTACTATTCAGTACAGGACGATCGGAAAAATTATATCAATAGATTTTAGATATTGGATTGCAAAAATGCACTAAGATTTATTTGGCAGAACTGCGGCTTTACAGCACCTAAGTACACCCGCCACCCTTGGATATTAGACCTATATACAACCACCTAATGTTTTCTGTCATGGACAGTTTTTCTTAGTTAGGTTTCGAGTGCAATTTTAACCCTAGAAGAATTGCTATCAAATCACTCTAATTATTGAGCCACTTAAAATTGCAGAAACTCATTAGTTTTAATAGATTTTTATTGACCTTATATATCATTTACACATAAATACTATAAATTAAAATTAGATTAAAACAGAAGATAGATGGGTAGGTAGATGGGTAAGTATTGCAAACTCGCAAATATTACAGTAGATTCTTGTTTTTCTCTTTTGAATTTCGACAAATATCTCTCACGACGAAGAATAAGGAGTAGAAGAAGAATGAAAGGATACAACACCGAGGCAAAATCGAGTAACGAATGCTGCAACCACCAGACAAACGCGAACGGTGTGAGATTAAAATGAAGTAGCTGATAGGCAAATGAAAAGCACATGACGACGACAGAATGTATTCGAAGACAGAGCGAACAGTCGTCCAAAGTGCTACCTTACCTCGCACCATTATGTAAATCTGGGAATATCT